CCCAGCCACGAGGTTCTCAGCCAGGGTGGGGGTGGTCCCAGCCCTGCTGCCGCACTCCTGAAGGGTCACAGGAGGCAGGCCAGCAGGGCAGGCACACGGCAGACCTGCGGCAGACCAGCATGCCCCAAGAAATGGGTGCCGGAGCCTGACCCAGGACCTCCAAACACAGTGTGGGAGGCAGATAATTAGAAGTGGACCCTAATTCCAGACACACATAGAACATGTAGGCGGGAGGCTTCAGAAGGCACCAGCCCTGTAACCTGCAACCTTAAGACCCTAAGCCTCCAGGCTGGGAGGTGAGTTCCTGGTTCCCATCCGCCCAGGCTGGGGCAGCCCAAGCAATCTGAGGCCAGCCAAGGGGCCAGAAAGCCAGGGAGCCAGGAGCRAGGCAGGTCAGCAGCAGGAGGGCAGCCATGCAGTTCAGGCCACCCACCGACATGGACACCCATGCACCCCAGCCCTTGCCTGCCAGGTAGACTGGGAGCCACAGGCACTGAGCTCACCTTGGACCCTGACAATGGAGCTGCTCCAGGCCCCGCCAGCCTCACACTTATATCGCCCACCATCCTGCGGGGTGGCACCTGTGATGACCAGCTGGGCACAGCAGCCCTCGTAGCTCAGCTGGCACCGGGCAGATGGCCGCAGCATCTTCCCATCCTTGGTCCAGTGCACGGGGGTGTCAGGAGCAGTGGTCTCACATGTGAGGGTCAAGTCCTCGCCTTCTGTGACTGTGGCATCTGTGAGCTCCTGGGAAAAGATGCTCAGCTTCTCTGGGGGAAGAGAAAGGAGCCAAAGGTCCCTGGGGCTGTGGTGTTACTGCAAGAGAGGCCCCTGCTRCAGATGGTCATCATCTTGTCCATGTCTGCCGCTGCCTCGGGCTGCAGCCACAGACGGGAACGCTGAGGGGACAGGGTGGGCTCTGCGTGGCTCTCGCCCTGGCAGGGAGCAGGCCACCTTSAGACATGCTGACCAGGATTCTGAGCATTACCGAGGGGCGTTCATCCCAAATAGCACCAGTRCACACACCTGCCTTCCTAGGATCCCCATGCTGATGACATCTAGTCTCACGTCACAATGAGTCTGCACCCAAGCTCAGACATGACTCAGCTGCCACCTGAGCTGTTTCCCACCCTCCTCAAACTGTACCCTGAGCAGCATGAACAGTATGACATCCCCACCCCAAATGGCCCTGGCCTTGAGGTACAAAACCTACCAGTGACCCGCAGGGTGGCCGAGGTCCTCTGGTCACCCGCCTCAAAGTAGATAGTACCCGAGTCCTTGAGCGCCAGCTGTCGCAGGGTAAGCACATGGTACCCCCCAGGCTGGACCACAATTTCATTGAGCTCATTGGCATGCAAGGGTGTCTCGTCCAGGAACCAGCGCACAGGCCCGTGGTCAGCAGGGGCAACACGGCAGCAGAATGTGGCTGAGGAGCCCTTGTGCACTTCCATGTCCTGCAGTTCCTCCGTGATGAGCACCCTCTGCCCTGCAGGGCACAGACAGCCATCAGGGCCTGCTGCCCAGGGAAGTCTGGCTCTCTCCAGACCCAAGGAGGGCTCCCAGCAG